GTGATATCGTATCGTCAAAGTTCTCACAGTAATATCGTGGACCATCACAATATAGTGAATTAGAAGTTTCTTTGTTAAATGAAGAGTTATGGTGCAGCAATATCTAAAAAGACAAAGGGAACTACATAGACCATGATCCTTTGCTCCGTTTTAGTGTAGACTACATGAAGAAATAACAGTTAGTTCTTTGGATTAAGTCTTGCCAAGGCATTTTAAGAGGAAAAAGTAGCATATTAGCCTTCATAAAATATAGCAATAAATATCGTACTGTGAGATGTATATCGTGAAAATATCGTACCGAGAGATTTAGATATTGTTACATCTCTTAATCATGAGCCTCCCCACCATATCGTGAGCTTTCCCACGATATCACAATAAATATCGTACCGTGAGGTTCATAACGTGATGATATCGTATCGTGAGACTTGGATATCGTTACACCCCTAATTTAGAGTGATAGAAGAAAGGACCAATCACAGCCCTTATTGTCTGCGTTGCTTTGCCTTGCTGTCTACTTCTGTTCAACACGTAGTAACAACATTTTGGAGGTGCACGTCAGTCGCGATACAGACGATTTGACGCCCAACCCCAAATTGACGTTTAGCAGCTATGTTTTACCTTTTGTTCAGTCGAGATTGGCAATTCCAAGGCTGAAATCATCCAAACCGTTTTAGTAAAGATGTATGGAGTTTAAAAACACAATGGAGCACCTTGTTTATTTCCACATGACATCACAAGGTGGAGTGTTTTCTGTTTGAGAGAAGAACTTGGCCTAGATATACCGGGTTTGAGTTAAACATTATAACATAGATCAGAAAATAGCGTAATATGGCTCTTTTAAAGCTGAACAAATGAATTGCTGTTTGTAATTCATTATAGTCAGATTTCGGTGGCGTGGGGGAGTGATGAGCGCTGGAGGCAGGAGTGAGTAGGTGTTTGGCTGATACTTCCTCCTCTCATTCACTTTACATTAGCCTGTTGTTTGTCCATTATCTCAAAGCTCATTTATTCCTGTGCCTGGGAATGCATACACGTGTGACCATCAAATCTGCTGCTATCTCTGCCATCAAATTTGTCTGTTCATGTGCAGTTGCAGCCTGGGGGGAGATTTTCACAATTACAATAGGTAGACGCGTCACGATGATTACTCTATAGACTTGTCGTTCAGTTCATGAATTTAGAAAAGGAAATGAACTCACAAAAAAGAATCATGATTTATTGAAACACTGCAAATTTCTCTGATCTGGCCAAGATTTTAAAACTTATATCTGGTCATTACCTCCGCCAAGGAGGTTATGTTTTTGCCGGCGTTTGTCTGTTTCTTTGTTTGTTTGTTTGTTTGTCTGTCAGCAACATAACTCAAAAAGTTATGGACCGATTTTGATGAAATTTTCAGGATTTGTTGGAAATGTGAAAAGGAAGAAATGATTTCATTTTGGGGGTGATCCGGAAGAAATCCTGGATTCTGGATCACTTTGAAATTTTAGTTAACATTGTGGTAAATGGGGCCAAATATTTTGTTTCTCAATATCTCAGTTAATTATTGACCAAACCCCATGAAGTTTGACTCAGGGATGGACAATGGGATCCTCTTTCATATTCCAAAGGCCGATCCAGATCTGATCCAGAAGACTGATTTTATCACAATTTATATAAAAAATGGGAGTAGTCCTTGGCGGAGGTCTGCGCTCTCTGAGTGCTTTTCTAGTTCATCTTGTTTTCACATTTCTAGTTCTGAGATGCTTAATTCTATTCTACAGGTCATTTATTTTAAGATAACTTGTCCAGTAAAATCATCTTGCTGCATGGACAGATCATTTCACTACTTTTAAGTCATTTTCTGATAAATTTAAGTGTTTATAGCTTAAATATTGGTCAAGCTTTTTTGCAGTTTAGGCAAACGATGTAACTTTCTGATTTAGGCTTCCATAGTATGACATTAGACCTGTCTATGTTACATTTATCCAGGTACATGTGTTTTTATTGCTCAAAGTACCTTCAAAAACATGCGTTCTGACTGTAAGTGGGCACGCCTCTTCACAGATCTGGCCTGTAACTTGGCCCGGTGGGGTCACCCACTTGTTTCCATGGAAGTAGTGCTGTTTTGTTGAGCACTTTATGCAAAACGCTGTATGTAGATGATCCTTTATCCTTTCACTGACTTTGTATTAACAACACAATACAATACAATGTTGTTTGTTTAGTCTAGTCATTTTTGGTCTTAAAATGTTCGTATTAACTCACCCTATATGATTCTGGTGTTTTTATTGCGCTATTTGTCCGTAATTAAATACCTGTTCCTAATATGGAACTTGGATCCAAATTCGCTTCTGTAAGTGCAGGCCTCGTTGAGCTTCATTTGACTGGAGCTGAATGCATTGGGTGATGTCACACTCCCTTTGTCCACGTCTTTATACATTTTATGCAAAGAACCGACAAACTAACACAAGAATCACATTCCAGAACATGTTTACAAATCTAAACTACAGGGTTAGTCATTTTTATGCAGAATAATACCACATTCTATTGAATGTTGGTAGTTGATAAATCTAAGTCAGTTCTCCCGATATTCGTTGTAAATGCGTTCCATTGTAACAGTTGGGGAACAGTTGCTTATGAACACTATAAGCAAGCCATATCAGCATAAATAAACTACTCCAGGACTATGACTGAACACAGACGATGCATGATGTAAGTATAAGTTTGTTCTTTCAAGTATCATGTAACCTCGGCTGTCACATAACTTCACATTTGTCTTGGTGTGACGGTAACATTAGCAGAGGCTGTTGATACAATTGTAACATTATGTACACTATGTGTATTACTGTGTGTGACAACATTTTTGCCATTAAATCTAACTGACTCGGTCTGCACTGAACTAGCCCGAGTTTGTGTTTCGGAACCCTGATTTGATTCCATTGCACTTTCTCGAGGTGGAGGTCAGTTTTCCCAGCATCAGTAGAATGCATAATAGAATGCACCTTAACACAGGAGAGTTTGTTCATTGTAGAGGAAATTATGGTAGCCTACTTTAAAAAAAAGTGTTTTGTTGTCCATTGTGTCCATTTAAATTGCATTATGGAGATGATTTATAGAAAAGTCATAGTTGTATGTGACCAAAAGAGCGAGGCAGTGAGTGAGCACATGTTTGGAGTTAGCTTAGCGTGCTGTGCGTCTGGGGGCCAGCTGGGGCTAAGTGTTAATGTTCACTGGAGCTAGCAATAGCATGTTAGCGCAGTGAGTGTCCATATGGGGCCCTCCTGCTCGGACCGTACAGCCTCTGGGAACAGGGCTGCACAGAACAGAGACCATCACAAGGGCGTTTGAGATGGAGAGGCTTTCACACGGGGCTTAAACTCCACATTGTGATGGACTGTTTTGTGTGTGTTTGGAGCTGTTAAGAAAAACTACGAGGTTTCAAATAGTTCCTCTCCTTCAGGGCTGCGGCAATTCAGGCTCCTCAGACCAGTAACTCGAGTCCATTCCAAGCCCATTGTCCAGATGAGTGCCTTTAATCACCAGTTCTACCATGAATCACTCCAAATGAGAGATTACACAGAATAGTTTGTAAAGTGTAAGAAATAATTAGTAAGACTCATGTTTATTTATATATTTCAATGAGTCTAACAACAAGAACCCATTTGTCCAATCATGCAGACAAACATCTGTTTGAATGCTACCATAGACGGTATAAAGATGTGGACTAAGGGAGTGTGACGTCACCCATAGTGTTTAGTTCCAGTCAAATGAAGCTCACCGAGGCTGGCAGATATAGAAACGAATTTGGAGCTAGGTCCATATTAGGCAGTGGTGTAGTGGGGATTTTTTAAGTGGGGGTACGCGTTTCATTACATCGCCATCCCTTTCAGAATAAACATAAAGGCGCCAGCCCAGTAAAAATCAGTGATAATTTGATGTTTTTTTACTCAAAACGATGCGGAATCATGTTATTAACATTAATGCCATTCATAATCCAGGACTACAGGACTAAACCAGGTCTAAACCAGAACTGAACCAGCACTAAACCAGGTCTAAACCAGGTCTAGACCTAATCTTGGACTATAGAGAGAGAGATCCGTCTCCTGGGGTCACCTGACGGTCTACAGGGGCACACCTTTGGGCCTGTCCCGAGACTCAGTTCTGGATCAGGTCACTATATGATAGTACTGCAGATATCATGAGCCTGTGCAGGTTGTTGTCACCATTGCCAATAGCAGCGGTTTTACATTTGTCATTTGGGAGAAGTGGGTGGATGGCGTACCCCCGCGTACCACGGCCTGCACACCCCTGATATTAGGAATAAAAATTTATTAAGGCAAAATAGCTAAATAAAATGATGAGGCTCACAGTTACAGAGAGATGACAGTTTTTCAATGTAAAGTGAGTTGGAAACAGAGTCCATGGAGCCTGAAGTGCTCCCATGTTCATTTCCTATCCTATGTCCATTTCTATACACAGTTTGGTGGCACAGTGATGAGCTCTTCAGACCCCCCAGCTATAAAGCTTTTGGTTATGGTCAGCCCTTTTGCAAATCATGTACTGTCTATGTCTGCACAGGTTTCCTCTGGTTCTCCATTCCTTTAAAAACAAAGGCCTTTACTTCTAGAGTGAGACTCCCCTTAAAAAAGTATTCTCATTCTCAGTTGAATTGATTAAATACAAGTCAGTAATCAATTATCACATTAACACTGACAGGAGGAAAGGCAAGAAATTGTCTTGTCCAAAGACACTGTAGCATTGCCATGTCTTTCTCCACAGAGAAACATGGACAGAAAATACTCAGAGAAATCCATGTAGTAATTGTATGTATTTCTAATGACCTGATTTTCATTACTTTACAATTACTTCACAATTTGATCATTTCCTTCACCTTTCTGCTGTTAGGGCCCTTGTTTTTGTCATATTATGGTCAAAGGGGCCATGTACACAACGTATAGATTTAACCAGATATTAAAGTATAGCAGTATATAAACTAAAGTGAGTGTGTTTGTTTGTTTCAGGATGAACGAGGAGCAGATTGCGACGGTGTGTCTGTCTGTGCTGAGGGCCCTGTCGTACCTCCACACTCAGGGAGTCATCCACAGAGACATCAAGAGTGACTCCATCCTCCTCACCAGCGACGGAAGGGTAAAAACACCACCACCTCTACTGCTTATATACTATGTCTCTGTAGTGTAGCACCTCTATGTTACACTATAGGCTTATATATACTGTATGTACCTGGAGTGTAGCACCTAAGGATGTCCTGATCTGACATTGGTATCGGTATCAGCTGCAGCTTACACTCAGAGAGGCATAAACACAGACTGAAGAGGCTCTTAAGCTGCTAAACGTTATTAATGACAGAGATAATATTTGTTTTACCTCTGCGATGTCTTCACGGAGCCTTAAGAGCGAAAAACAAACTCAAAATAAATCAGCAGAGGAGCAGAGTCGCAGAACCTAACATCCCAAATACCTAACTTGTTTACACAGGTTAAGTGGCCGTGTGCTTCAGCAGGCTTCTCTGTTTACAAGCCTCAAACAGAAATAATATGGAGAAAAAACACACGGCCTTCAGAAACAGAGGTTAAAACTGAAGTTGCTGCACTGTGGAGGAGTTCAAGATATTATTTTACAATATTATAACAAATTATTAGGTTGTTTTTAAGTAGTGCTGGTAATCATTTTATTCAACTGAGGCTAAATTCACCATACAAAAGCACAACCTAAATCAGGGGTCTCCAACCTTTTGCATCTGGTGAGTTGACTTTACAAAATGAAAATGCTGGAGAGCTACTTGTTTTAGCGTACGCAAGAAATTGAGTCGACAAGAGGACAAGCCTTAGATCTTGTACAGTTTGATTCCTGTAAACATAAAACCATTATCCATTTATTATGTTACGACCCCAGCACAAAGTTCAAAATAACACATTACAATGTTAATTAACCAAATTTGAGTTATTCAGTACAGGACATATAATTCACAGAGCTAGAGGCTCCGAGCTACAGGTTGGAGACCACTAGCCAGGCTGGCTAGAATACACTAGATCGTTTGCAAGAATCCCAAAAGTTGTAGACCGCGCACCGGCCAATCAGCTGTGAGCTGTGAAGCCATGACATCAAACTCAAGCACCTGTCTGGATCCCTTTTGTGGAACAGCACAACAGTAAACAAAGCGTCGAGATGGATGTAGACGAAGACAGACATTCTGTGTTGGAAACGATTCCTGAGATCGAGGATTTAAAGCCGGAACAAAGAGAATGTTTGGTTAATTTTATCAAGGGGGAAAGACATTTTTGCCCTTCTTCCTACGGGATTTGGCGTATTACATACATCACAACCAAATAGCAGCTATTGGTTAAATAAAAAAAGTACCTGCCTACCGTCGAGCGAACAGATCCTAATAAATCCTAATGCTGTGAGGTCAGACGGTTTCCACAAAGTGAAACCAGCTGCTGAATCAGGCTAGGAGACCCCTGGCCTAAATGGTATAAATAAAATAATTAAAAATAAGAAGATTGGTATCAGAATGAGATCGGTATCGGGAATTGCAAATATTGAAAAATCTGTATTGAATTGGAAGCCAAAAAATCTGGACATCCCTAGTAGCACCCCTTAAATATGTCTCTAATCAGAATTAGACTCAGAAAAGGTTGAACTCATTATACTTCCACACACCTCCAAACTCTCACCAAGTTTCAGGCAATTTCATGCAGGATTTTAGAAGATATTACATATTTGCTTGCCAGTTCATGTAAACAATACATTATATGACCAATATTTATACTGTAAATTAAAAACAACAACACATTGCAGCCGCAAGTGGCGATAAAGGCCCTCGCCCCGACATACACCGCCCTCCCTCACAACCGCCATACCTTTGTAATAATGAACAGGACATAGGTCTAATTGACTTTTTGAATCAATGAAGTCATTTCCTGTCAAATTTCAACATTTTTTATTATTCCTTTATTGTTTTCCCCCATTGAAAATTGTGTGCACTTCTCTAGGAGTTGTTATTGCATGGATCTTCCTTGTTGTTATGGATGTCTTTGCTGTCAACACAAAATAACTTGAATTCATACTTCCATAAACCCTGAAAATGAGTTGTAGACCTCATCTTTAACTTACATTCACACTAGTTCTGGTTTAGCCCACTTTAGTCCTGATGTAGACTTGGTTTGGTCCTGTTTTAGTCCTGTTCCAGTCCAAGTCTAGTCTCAGTTAATTCCCATTTTAATGTGAACACACCCTTAAACTCATCAGCTTCAGAATTTGCACATTTTCAATTTGTGTTTTACATTCTTCAACACTTCCTCTCTGTAATAGTGAAATTGATCTTTGCCCTCTATTTGAAATTTTGACATAATCTAATTCTGTTACACAGCCTATTTCATTTACTTAACAACATTTTTGACCCCTATAATTCAAATAACACCCTCTTTTTTTTTTTAACCACGCCTTGCTCCTGTCACTGCACCTGTCACTGCGCCTGTCACATACACAAACACCGACCTTCTCCGTGGGTGAAGCGTTTAATGCCATACTGTGGACATTTACAGAAAAATAATAATATGTTTAACTACAAATTAAAGCTTGCAAAACTTTGGGCCGCTCCTCATTTTAGTTCTCTGCAGCAATTGTCCTTCAACACACTTAGACTAGGTTCAGGCTGCAGGGCTTAATGCTCAATTCGGATTTTTTTGCGAGCTCAGACTTTTTTTGCAATGTCGTTCACATTTCCAATTAAATGCGACTTGTATGTGATCTCCAGTATGAACTTTAAACACCCCAAAAGTGTCCCACATGCGTCACACAGAGCGAGCGTGATCAGTGTTTACAGAAGTCGCCTTGGCACCTGGAGATTTTAAAGTTGCTGCTGTACCAGAACCAGAACATGTACAGTTTGTTTGTTTTAAGGAGGAGACTGAGACAGAGAAGGACAAGGTTTTTGGTCGTGACGTTTTTTGGGGCAGCTGCAGCAACGTCCGTAGAAAGGAACGTGTGGGTGCGGAGTCGCAGCCAAGAGTGGTGGGATTGCTTTTGTTATTCCCACTTGAGCACAGAATAGTGATGTTTGTTGTTTGTTGATGACACGTAGGTGGGATGAATGTGACCTGACCATTCAGACTGAAGTCGTATGTCGAAAGATCGGGTATGTATCGGTTTCAGGAGCACATATCCAAGTGGTCTAGGTTACATTTGAAAAAAAATCTGATCTGTGTGGTTCAGACTGTCATTAAAAGATCAAATACAGGTCACATAGGAGTGAAAAAAGTCAGACTTTGGTCACTTCAGGCTGTAGTCTGAACGCAGCCTTAGTTCAAACTTTGTTCATTTTTACCTCAACTTTTAAAAACTCCATTCAGAACATTTTAGAGGATAATTGCACATGCTTTTAACACTTTTATGTCTTTAATCTGCAAATGTTTCACTGTCTCACTTTTCTTTTCACTGTTTCATGTTATGATTGATGTGTGAGTGTGTTCTGTTTGTGCTGAGTTATACTGCCTCTTGGTCAGGTCGTCATTGCAAATAAGAAGGTGTTCTCAATTGACTTATCTGTTAAAATATTGAATAAATAAAATATGTAAATAATGTGGTAATAATCTAGCATAACATACAGTAGGAATTCCAGTCTGTAGGGCCTATATATTACACTATTTTCCTCATCACAAACAGACCTTTAGTTGTGTTGTGTTTCATTCACACATGTTTAACGCACAAACCCTGCAGATTTAGGCTGAGCTTTTCTTTTTAACAAGAACTAAAAACACTCTGTTCCACCTTGTGATTAGAGCTGGGTATCATTAAGAAGTTGCTGATACAATACATACCTCGATACATAGACCGCAATACGATATGTTTTTCAGTACAGTGCGCTTTCGATTCAGTATGATTCAATACGATATATTTAAGATCGATTCAATACGCTTCAGTGAAAAGCAAAGTCTAAATCATGGCTGTGATACTAAAAGTCTTATATGTCTACTAAGTTTGTGCAGAGTTAATATGAAAAACACACATTTTACTCATCAAAACGGTGAAAATGTCGACACAATTGTAGCTCCTACATGAAATGATTTAGTAAAATATACCAAAAAATACTCTTGGCGCTATATCGATACAGCTGCCCACGATATCAATAATGTATCATTAAATTAAATGATACGATATAATGATATTTTAATATTTTTGCAAACCTCTACTTGTGATTTTATGTGACAATAGAGGAAGTATTTTCATGTAAGTTCCCTTGTGAATCAAAAAAGTTTGTCTAAGTCTAAGTAAAAAGTGCTGTACTGTGTTTTTAAACTCCATACACCTTCACTTCAATCATTTGGATAATTTTAGCCCTGGAATTGCCAATTTCGACTGAACTATATGTAAAAGGTTCTGTAGCTGTTAACTTGAACACTACCGCTTCATGACATCACAAGGTGGAACAGAACATTTTGAGCTTTGAGATGTAGACAGACTAATAAAAAAGGGTTATTCAAACATGTTTAAATGAAACAAAACACAACTTTAATGAGGTAAATACATTATAACATGACTTAAAGCGCACAAGAGTCAATTTTCTGTAATATAAGACCTTTAACGTGAGATCTGTTGTCAGTAAAAAAGAGAAAACCGTAAACATGATCATTATTTTCAATCCGCTGATGGATCCGGACAGTGACATCACACTTACAAACTCTATAGTTCAAATAAGACTTTCCTCCGCTCTGTACCACGCCTTGCTCCTGTCACCGCACCTGTCACTGCGCCTGTCACATCCAAACACTGACCTTCTCCGTGGGTGCAGCGCCTGCCACTCGTCAACAAATTCTGCCAGAAACTCATCAGCATAAATTAGCACTTGTAACACTGTAATTAAATCCTCTAATGTCTGCTGATAAGACATGATTAATTGAGGAATAATGAGGCTCCTAATATAGAAGATTAGTGGTTTTCCTGAAAGCTCTCGATCGAAGAAGGTCACTGCGTTTGTCGGCGTGAGATTCAGGATCCAGCGGCCACAACATGGTTTTATAAAGATGAAATTCAACCAGGAAGTCTGTTTGTTCATCACTCACTCTCCCTTATATCATCTTGTTAATTTATCTTAAACTTCGACAAACTTTATTGATCCACAATAGTTTTTTACACAGTAGCTCAAACATCACAATATAATATAATAACAAAGAGTAAAAATATAAATGGTCATGATAAATTCAAATAAGTAGCAAAAATAACAAGAGACTGATGTCAAATAAGACATAATTATGTAAATGTATATGTAAAAGTAAAAATAAAAAATATAAATATAGTAATATAAATATATCTCTCTCTGATTGACATGGCAGAAGGTCATCTATTACATAAGGGTCAGTTGTTGTACAGTTGTAGGGAGTATTATATTACACAAGGGTGAGTTGTTGTACAGTTGTAGGGAGTATTATATTACACAAGGGTGAGTTGTTGTACAGTTGTAGGGAGTATTATCTCTTACATAAGGGTCAGTTGCTGTACAGTTGTAGGGAGTATTATATTACATAAGGGTCAGTTGCTGTACAGTTGTAGGGAGTATTATATTACACAAGGGTGAGTTGCTGTACAGTTGTAGGGAGTATTATATTACACAAGGGTGAGTTGTTGTACAGTTGTAGGGAGTATTATCTCTTACATAAGGGTCAGTTGTGTACAGTTGTAGGAGTATTATCTATATACAAGTTGAGTTGTACATAAGTTTGTAAGGGTAGTATTATCTCTTACATAAGGGTGAGTTGTTATAAAGTTGTAGGGAGTATTATCTGTTACATAAGGGTCAGTTGTTGTACAGTTGTAGGGAGTATTATATTACATAAGGGTGAGTTGTTGTACAGTTGTAAGGGAGTATTATCTCTTACATAAGGGTGAGTTGTTGTACAGTTGTAAGGAGTATTATCTCTTACATAAGGGTGAGTTGTTATAAAGTTGTAGGGAGTATTATCTGTTACATAAGGGTCAGTTGTTGTACAGTTGTAGGGAGTATTATATTACATAAGGGTGACAGTTGTTAGGTACAGTTTTAGGGAGTATTATCTGTTACATAAGGGGCAGTTGTTGTACAGTTGTAGGGAGTATTATATTACATAAGGGGCAGTTGTTGTACAGTTGTAGGGAGTATTATATTACATAAGGGGCAGTTGTTGTACAGTTGTAGGGAGTATTATATTACATAAGGGGCAGTTGTTGTACAGTTGTAGGGAGTATTATATTACATAAGGGGCAGTTGTTGTACAGTTGGAGTGTGGTATGAATGTAGTCCTGTATCTCTACAGCAGCAGCAAAACCATCAGCCTCCATCTCCTCTTAATTTTTTTATTTTTATTATTATTATTATTTTTTCTGTGCATGATTGACAAGCGGATTAACCAATCAGAGAGATGCATGTTCAGTTTTCATCAAAAATAAACATGGCCTGCAGTTCCTTGAGTTTTGTATGTGTTTTAGTATGTGTTTTAATTTCTTATTGTTCCCCTGGAGTCCTGCTGTGAGAGCCCTGGTCCCTGATTGGTGGATTTCCTCCACACCTGGCCAGTCCTTCCTCACCTCCAGCCTCCTCCCCCTTATTTAAGGAGATTGCCAGCACCTGTTCAGAGCTGCGGACCTTGGTGGCCAGGCTGCCATTTTGTGTTTGTGTTGGTGTGTGTAGTGTAGTTCTGTTTTATGCCTCTTTTTAATTTGGTCATTCGATTCTGTTTGTGGCTCATGTGGTTTAAGTTGGGGAACTTGTGTGTTAGTTTAGTGTGTGTCCACTCTTTTTTGTGGCACAAAACTGTAATTCTATTGTTTGTTTCTTAGTTTAGGTTATTTTCTGTATACATTTTAGTTTGTTTTGTTACTTTCCCTTTACATTCCTGTTAATTAAACATTACTTCATTTATTCCATTGGTTATTTTTGTTAACTTCCCGGACCCCCAACGAGCTGGGCTATAACAGATACATATAAAGAAAGAGAATATTCCGAATAAAGATCTGAGGAACAGTGTGGATTTTTACAGAATCAACAACTGAAGTTCCAAACTATTAACTATTAACTATCTAAGGTAAAAAGTTCTATATTTTCTTCTGAATGTTACAAGAATTTTCAGTAGGAGATGTCTTCTGCATTTGAGAGACACATGATATAAATTAGCAGCTGTGGTTGGACCGTCTCAAGTTTAGACTGAGGTTTTTCTTTATTATTTGTTATAATCCCTTCTGGATTTAAACAGAATGTAGAAGGGACTGGCTGGTCAGGAAAGCTTTGACCACCTGTTTATGGTCCTCGATCAGCAATGGAACTTGATGATAAAGCTTTTGGACACCACTGGTCTAATGATTTGTTTGTTTGCAGATCAAGCTGTCAGACTTTGGCTTCTGTGCCCAAGTCTCCAAAGAGGTGCCCAAGAGGAAGTCTCTAGTGGGGACCCCCTACTGGATGGCCCCGGAAGTGATCTCACGGCTCCCCTACGGCACAGAGGTGAGACGGTCTGTTTAACCTTACGCCCCTGCGCTGGGTTATTCTGCTGGTTTTTAAGCTGTCTTTATCTCCACATGTTCAGGTGGACATCTGGTCTCTGGGCATCATGGTGATCGAGATGGTGGATGGAGAGCCGCCCTACTTCAATGAGCCCCCCCTGCAGGCCATGAGGAGGATACGCGACAACCTGCCCCCGCGGCTAAAGGAGTCACATAAGGTAAATGCATATTAACAACTAAGTAAGGGTGCGCTGACACTAGGACTTTAGAACTGTGCCCAAGCACAGATCGCCTCTGAAGTGCAATGTGTTTGTCCAGTGTGGGCAAAATCGAACCGTGTCCAGGCACGCATGGATGGGACTTTGGTCTGGTTGGAGGAGGTGGGCCAAAGCACAGCACAGGGGCTCATGTACACGCACACATGACTTTACTGTACGAGCCCTGTCAGGTGTGCTGATGTTACACATACGAGGAAAATGGTGAATAAAATCTGCTCCAAAACACACAGTGAATCCACGCTCACCTTCAATAAGGACTGAGACAGAAGTTTAGCTTCCTCTCATCTCCACCTGATTCGAATCTGCTCGTGTGAGTGTGGGCCATAGAACTCGACGCAGTCGTGCTTGAACACGGCACAGTTCTAAAGTCCTTGTGTGAGTGCATCCTAAGATTCTCTCTCTCTTGTCGTACTATAACTTTAGTTGCACGGATTGTACCTGAGTTTCTATGTAATAAAGTACAATTTGTTTTAGCCCTGTACATTTATATGGTAAAAGCAGCTCCTAGGGTCAAAAGTTTTCTGTTGTGTGATGTCTGCATCTACTTAGTTACAGTAAAAATCTTTTGATTTAGAACCTTCCATGTTTCTGTCACCCTGTGCCAGGGCAGCTGTTATTTTAAAGCCCTGAATTTTGACTAAACTAAATATAGCGGACAACTTTAAGCCAAAACAGCCAAATTAAAGTCACACAAGCTATAACATTGTGTTTTTAGGAACAGTTTTGTCCTAAGGGCTGTTATTCCCCTTTTTTTACTCCCCTGCTGACAACTCTTGTGAAGCTGCACTGAGATGCACTCAGTGTGCTTAAATGAAGTTATATTGATTGATTTTAGTTCATAGATGGGTACGTCGTTTGTCATTTGAAATCGTAGGATGTTTACAAAGTTCTTGTTGCTCATGAACATTTTACTTACAGACTCTTTTCTGTGCCCGTCCTGCAGGTGTCCTCAGTTCTCCGCTCCTTCTTAGACCGTATGTTGGTGCGAGAGCCGTCCCAGCGCTCCACGGCCCAGGACCTGCTCCAGCACCCCTTCCTCAAAATGTCCGGACCCCCATCATGTATCGTCCCCCTCATGAGGCACTACAGGCACCGCTGACCCCCCTGTCCTCCCCTCTCTGTCTGCTCCCAAACTAACACCCCCACGCAAGACTCTGCTCACACCACCAGGGGGGGCACTACCGCTCTGCCCTGCCAAAACCACGGCAACGCTGCGGCGTGCCACGAACTCTCACAAACGTTGACGTAGATTAGCTAGAGGAATATATAATCACGTACACAAGGAAGAAGAAGACCATTTGGAGCTAGAAGAAGAACTATTGCTCGTAGTTCTAGACTAGTCCTCAAGCTAACGGACTCCTGACAAAGATGGGTCCCTTGGGTGCTCTGCGGTCGCCCACTGTTGCCCCCAGCGGCGTTGAAGGAAGGATGGGTCAAATGCAGAGGACAAAATCCTTACGGGGACAAAGAACTTTAAAACATAGAAGCGTTTTTCTCTCTTCCTTAATAATAACTCTTCGATGTAGAGTTTTGATAGCCATCAGTCTCAACATGGACGGCGATGTTGGCTGTGAATATCCTGAAATATTCACAATATTAACTGTCAAAATGTATTTTAGAAAGACATTTTCTTCTGTACAGTTTTGATAATTTGCAAATTTTATCGTGTCGTAACCATTGTGATATGAACAGTATTAAATCAATAGAGTTTCTTGCAGAGATCTTTTTCCTACTGTTTATAATTCAACTTTTTTGCTTAAAGATTATAAAAGAGTTATCCCAAAAATAAACCCAACTTAAGCTAAATGTTATTAAAATACTAAATATATTTATTATTATCTTAACATTTGTAGACAGAACTTCCATTTTGATGTCGGGGGTCAAAGGGTTAAACTGTTTTGTAACACATTTGGAATATTTATTTATTTATTTATTGGAATTTCTTGTTTGTTTTAAAGGCGCATTGCGTAGCTTTTCCGGAAGAGGGTCCGTCGAACGCTTTTCCCCCGTAGAGATGTTACGGCTTTGTCTGGAATGTTTCACAGTACGGCATTACTGCTCTCTACGGAAACCAAAGTTACAGGTCAGATTTGCGGAGAGGCGATGCTGCTCACAGTCAGAATTCCAGTTTTTCTAGGTATTTTTGAGCTTTAAAACCATTTGTGATTAAAAAAAAAGTAAAGTAGAGATGTTTAATGTCATACTGTGGAACATTCTAAGCAGAGCAATGACGTATCCATAGAAACAAGCCGGAGACGGACCCCCAACCGAGAAGCTACACATCGCACCTTTAAGTTGGATGGTTTTCTGTTCTGTTTTGGTGTTTTTGGTGATTTTTTGGAAAATTTTGGACATTTTTATTAAAAGTTGGCATAGAGCTAATTCATCGGAGCAATATCCAGTTATGAACACGTGAAAAACCTTGTACTGTTTCAGATGCTGTAACTGACACAATGCATTTCTATGTAGCACACAGAGTAGATTGGACTGTCAACTCAACACACGAGTCTATGCCAACATGTTTTTATAATAGAAGTTTCATTGTCTGTCAAAGATTGCTTAAAAAAAAAAAAAGTTGACGCACACATTTTGGAACGCAATTAATATTTTTTACTCGCACTGCAAAAACAAGAGAGTTACATGAGTTAAAACGACTTGAATTTATTTTCTGATCGATGTTATAATGTTGTTTCTTTACACACACAGACCTGGAGTTGTGTTTTATTTCATTTGTATTTAATTTTGCATATTCTTCTTCAGAAAACACTTTGTTCAAATCCAATCCTACTTTATTTTTATAGCACATTTTACCAACACGAAGTCTCCAAATTGCTGCACAGAATAGGCACAATATAAAATAACACATTAAAGAAAATAAAGCTTAAAATAAATAAATAAGCAAGTCAATAAAAAACACTAAAAAATAGCAAATAAATTCAATAAAAAACAGTCAGAGGAGCACACAATTCTCACGCTGTGTTAAATGTCGGTGAGTAAAAGTGTGTTCTGAAACGAGACTTAAAAGATTTGACTGAAGGGCCGGTCTTAATGTGACGGGGGAGAGTGTTTCAAAGTTTGGGGCCAATCACACAAAAGGCCTGGTCACCCCAGAGTCACTCCAGAGCCACCCCAGAGGTGACCTCCAGGTCACCCTCACCCCAGGGGACCCCCCAGAGTCACCCCAGAGGGTCAACCCCAGAGTCACCCCAGGGTCACCCAGAGCACTCAGGGTCACCCCAGGGCACCCCAGGGTCACCCCAGAGTCACCCCAGAGTCACCTCCCCCAGGGTCACCCCAGGGTCACCCCAGGGCACCCCAGAGTCACCCAGAGTCACCCCAGAGTCACCCCAGAGTCACCTCAGCGTCACCCAGAGTCACCCCAGGTCACGTCACCCCAGGGTCACCTCAGAGTCACCCCAGAGTCACACCCCCCAGAGGTCACCCCAGAGTCACCCCACCCCAGAGTCACCCCACCCCAGAGTCACCCCAGAGTCACTCCAGCGTCACCCCAGGGTCCCCCAGAGTCACCCAGAGTCACCAGGGTCCCCCAGGGTCACCCCAGAGTCACTCCAGCGTCACCCCACACCTCAGAGTCACCCCAGAGAGCCACCCCAGAGTCACCCCAGAGTCACCCCAGAGTCACACCCCAGAGCAACCCCAGGGTCACCCCAGGGTCACTCCAGCGTAACCCCAGAGTCACCCCAGAGTCACCCCAGAGTCACCCCGGCGTTTAAGTCTTGTTTTTGGGATGACAAGTTGGAGCCCTCAGACCTCAGAGTGCGAAGGAGTGTAGGAACAATGAGGTCTGAAATGTGCGTTGGGGCCAGTCCATGAAGTGGTTTAAAAACAAGAAATACATTTTTAAATCAACTCTAAAATGCATGTGGAGCCAGTGCAATAAGGAGTGTGCCGGTTAAAAGACATGCTGCAGAATTTTGGACTAACTGTAAGGTGGCAGGTTGCATTACGGTAGTCAAGACGTGTAGACATAAAAGCACCCGCTCCAATTCACTAAAAGATAAAACATTTGAGTCTGGATTATAGTTTTTTAACATTCAAAATACTGTCAGTGCATCTCTTTTGAACAACAAGCCCAGATGTTCAGAAATAAACATAATAGCCTAATGAGAACTTAACAGAACGCTGTAGTTGTGTGAAAGAGATACTAAAATTCCATGACTTTTCCAAAACTTTCATTGAATTTACAAAATTCCATAACTTTTCAAGGCTTGGAACATGACATTTTCAATTTCCTTGACTTTTCCAGGATTTCCATGACTGTGGGAACCCTGCATTTTGAGCTTTGGAGATAAAGTCAGACTAATAATAAAGGATTAGTTAAACGTGCAGATGAAACAAAACACAGCTCCAGGTCTGATTTTGACGAGATGACTTCATTATAACACGACTTAAAGCTCACAAAAGTTTGTTTTGCATAATATAAGAGCTTTACACATATAATTTGAATGGAGCAAACAATGTGAGTGTAGTGTCTTGCTCAGGGACACAACAACTGCATGTGACTGGGCAAGGTCTGAACGGGGCACCTTCTCATTATTTGTTGTACACTTATCTCACTGTGCCACTGCCACAAGCACTATACATGTGGACTGATGCTTTGTTGTTCTTACCCTATTTACAAAAAAATAAAGGTGCACTGTGTAACTTTTCTGGTGGAGCTTCTGTCCATAAAGATATTATTGTGTTATTGCCTGGAATGTTCCTCAATATGGCATTAAACCTCTCTATCTATATTGCATTTATTCAGTAACAGGGTCTCCACAGAACTGAAATGTAACTCGGCCTGGTGTTGTTACCTGCTCGTTTCCATGGAGATAAGTTAATGCTTACTTTGGGATATTACAGGCAAAGCAGTCACAGACACGTTGGGATGTAGACTTCTATCAGAAAAGTTACTTAGTGCACTTTTAATTCACCTTTAATCTCAAGTTTCCAAGATTTTACAGTGACCATAGACTGTATATAGAAATGGACAGAGTTAACCAAATAGGAAGTGAACATGGGGGCACTTCCGGCTCCATCGACTCTGGCTCCAATATACAGTATGCATCCCGAATTTCTGACTTCCGGTTATTGCGCGATGCATACTGGGAAGGATCCTCGGAAAAAGTGAGCGTCAAACTGCCATGTTTGTTTTCTCGGTGGGATGTGTCTGTTGTCAAGGTCAATCTTTTCAACCATATCACTTTTGTTTCTGGTTCTGATATTGCCATATTTTAGTTACGGGATTCGGATATTGAATAAAGCAAAATCGCGTTTGTTAAGCGAGAGGTGCAGAAGACAAACAGGCTGAGCTCGCACTTTCTTGTTCTTGTGGTTTTACAGCAACATCACGTCTTGGTCTCTTTGCAGTGGAAAGTGTTTCTTGCTGAACAGTTGGTGCTTTTCACTTTGGCGTTGACTTTTTAAATTCGTAACCAAGGTGGAGCGAGGGATCGGGATTTTGCTTTGATGGCGCTCCCCATACAAAATGTTGGCTGCAAACTGGGGATGATTTAGGCAGTCAAAGATTACCTTTTTGGTCCTTCCCGTGGATCAGTTCTGCCCATCACCTTCACCTTTCACTATTTTTCAATTCCTTTGGGAAGAGAAACAGTTTGAACGGAGGTTTGCAGTCACACACATCTGATTCCCTTTTGCAGGTATAGAGTTTGCAAACTTCCGAAGTCTGTTTTCCGCTGTTAGGATCCAACAACCGCACAATTACAATGTCCGACTCCCATAACTAAAATATGACAATATCAGAACCAGAAACAAAAGCGATATGGTTCAAAAGACTTGAAAAGATCGACTTTGACAATAGACACATCACACTGGGAAAACAAACATGGCCGTTTGATGCTCACTTTTTCAGAGGATCCTTCCCAGTATGCATTGCGTGATGACCAGAAGTCCAAAATTCGGAATGCATGTATTGACTTAACATTGAAAAATTGTCACCTCTCTCTGTAAATGCTGCTGTGAGCGTCGTCATTTTGGGCTTAAATATTTGTATGAACTTGCTCTACACGATCCTGGGGTTTTTATTTTGCTATTTTGTTCATACATCAATCCCATTCCTAATATGGACCTGGCTCTAAAATCGCAACTATAACCAGCCTTGATGAGCTTCATTTGACTGGAGCTGAACACTATGGATGACGTCGCACTCCCCTAGTCCACTTCTTTATACAGTCTGTGTTTATAACCTGTCAAAACTCTTCTAAGTTCAAGTGATTTTAACTCATGTGGGTGATTTTGAGTTTTTACAGTGCGCCCTGACATCTGTCTCATCTGAGACACACACAAACGCTGCCATTCTCCTGTGTGTGTGTGTGTGTGTGTATGTGTGTGTGAACCGGTGAACAGTGTGTCCTCTGCCCCATGCTCCACTGTGATCTGTGTGTACATAGGAAGAGGGGGACAGATAGAGAGGTACAGTAAGAGAGAGGAAGTGTGTGTGTGTGTGTTCATAATATATTTGTGTTTGTGTGTGTGTGTGTGTGTGTGTGTGAGAGGGAAATCAGTTGGAAATTCCCCCTGGCTGGAAAGTCCGCCCTCAATTGTTTCCTTTATGAAACTAAGGGCCTGTTCACACGAGAACGCTTGCGGGTAAAAACGACAAAATATTTTATCAGAAGTGCTTTTCGTTTAGACAGTGATGCCGTTTTTGGGGCTTAAAAACGCAAAAATCTGAAACCAGCCTCCAGAGTGGA